AATGTTATGTTATAAAATACCATAAACCTAGATCACACATCTTTTTTGATTTCAGTTAATGAACATAAGAATTAAGTCAGAATTAATTATTAAGTCAGAAGGGAGTAAATACTGATGTCGAAAATGCTGTCTGGCACAGGAAATGAGTAAGTGTATTACTTAAGTCTCATTTACATTAAACTTTTGATGAGGAAAGCTTTTACATTTTGGGGGGAGTTGGAGTGATAGCACAGCAATAGGCACTTACCTTGCAGGCGGTTCACCCAGCATCCCGTGTGGTCCTCCGAGCACTGCCAAGACTAATTCCTTTGAGACCCACAATAAATCTCGGCAGAGGAAGAGACAACATGCCGCAGAGATGCCTCTGGACCCCAAAGTTACCATACAGTTAAACATCTAATTCTAGCTGTATCATCCTATTTAAACTTTTAGAATTTATGGAGCACACGGTCACATTTGTGGACCTGCTACATCTCATATTCCATATAAGGGCTTATTGGCTCCAGAATGATACAACAAATTTCACACACTTTTCTCTAAGGAAACTTTTTTGGATCAATTTTAGTGGATTATTCATAACAAGAAATACAAAATAAATTATTTAGTCCTTCTTTGGGGGACAGGCTTTGGGAGTCAGGGTGGAATAATTTGTAATATGGTGGTAGAAAGGTGTAATGGTGGTGGATTGGTGTTGGAATACTGAATGTAATAAATGATTTTTAGAAACCTCATAAAAATAAAATAAAATTTTTAAAAAAGTGTAATTTCTTACTACAGAGCCAACAGTAACCTCCCAGAATCGCTGGGTATGGCCCCAAAACAAGAACAAAAACAGATTATACATTTTTACATCATATCAAAAACGTTTATGAGATTTTTAACTATACTAACTTTCTGAGGGAAAGGAGGATTGGTGAGGGAGTTGGCAAAAACCTAGGTGTTAAGAAAGACAAGAGACTCTTGCTCTTAAGCAATGTTAGCCAGAAGGGAAGGCAGTTAGTTTTACTAATTTGCCTTATAAATTCTTCATGGCTTTAAAAAGACTTTGGGGGGCTTGGAAGATAGCTCAAAAGTCCAGTTTGCATCCCCCCTGAACACCATCTGGTTTGGCCCTGGTGGAGTACCACACTACCAGGTGCTAGCATTGAAACATCAGACTTGCATAGTCAGGTGAGTATCACCAGGACTGACCCCCCAGTTCACTGACGCACTGTTTAGGAGGCATCCCTCAAATTAAAAAAAATACTTTTTTGTTGTTGTTTTTATCTACCTATTATTCCTCGGAGGTTTAAAAATAATTATTTCTACTGACAAAAATTGATTCTACTAGGCTGTTGCAAAAGTATGGAATTGTCTAGGTGAATATTTTACAAAGGTTAAATGAGGAACTTAGAAATAGTACAAAGGTCAAAATACTGGTTGAACTCCACAAGAAGAAAACATCCAACCCCATCAAAAAATGGGGCAATGAAATGAACAGAAACTTTCTCAAAGAAGAAATCCAAATGGCAAAAAAGCACATGAGAAAATGTTCTACATCATTAATTATCAGGGAGATGCAGATCAAAACCACAATGGGATACCATCTCACACCTCAGAGACTGGCCCACATCCAAAAGAACAAAAGCAACCCATGCTGGTGCAGATGTGGCGAGAAAGGGACACTGTTTCACTGTTGGTGGGAATGTCAACTGGTTCAGCCCTTCTGGAAAACAGTATGGACGATTCTCAAAAAATTAGAAATTGAGCTCCCATTTGACCCAGCAATACCATTCCTGGGAATATATCCCAGAGAGGCAAAAATGTATAGTCGAAGTGATATCTGCACTTGTTTGTTCATTGCAGCACTCTTTACAATAGCCAGAACCTGGAAGAAACCTGAATGCCCAAGAACAGATGACTGGTTAAAGAAACTTTGGTACATCTACACAATGGAGTACTATGTAGCTGTTAGAAAAGATAAAGTCATGAAATTTACATACAAGTGGTACAACATGGAAAGTATCATGTTAAGCGAAATGAGTCAGAAAGAGAGGGATAGACATAGAAAGATTGCATTCATCTGGGGGGATATAAAGTAACAAAATATGAGATTAATACCCAAGAATAGCTGAGATCAACACCAGGAGGATTACTCCATGGCTTGGAGGCCAGCCACACATGCTAGGGGAAAGGGCAGCTCAGATAGAGAAGGGAGCACCAAATAAAGGGTGTTTGGAGGATCCTCCCAGGAGGGGAGATGCATGTTGAAAGTAGACTATGGACTGAACATGTTTGCCACTCAAAGCCTCTTTTGCAGACCACAACACTCAAAAGGAGAGAGAGAACACAAGGGATTGCCCTGCCACAGAGGCAGGGTGAGATGGGAGGGATGGGAGTGGGAGGGATATTATCCATGGTGGTGGAAAATGGGCACTGGTGAAGGGATGGGTATTTGATCATTGTATAATTGAAACCCAAGCACAAAAAATTGTAAATCTACAACTGTACCTCATGGTGTTTCACTAAAAATAAAAAAAAGAAATAGTACAAAGGTTAAGGCAATTGCCTAGTATGTGACTGTGGTCGTGGCAACCCAAGATTCAATTCCTGAAACTTCATATAGTCCCCTGAGCACCTTTTGAAATGATTCCTGAGCACAGAGCTAGAAGTAAGCCGTTAGCACTGCTGGATGTGGCTCAAAAATGAAGAACTGAAAAGAAAAAAGAAGAGAAAAAAGGAAGGAAGGAAGGAAAGATGGAAGGAAGGAAGGAAGGAAGGAAGGACAGAGAGAAAAGTGTAGAGGTTAAATGAAAATGCTATCAAAAAAAATCTCACTGAACTGCTCCAACAGAGCCCCAGTGACTGAAAACCTCCAGAACTCAACTGCCACTATGTTCCTGGCCCATCTCCACAGACTCAGAGGAGTCTCACCCATGAACAAATCTGTTGAAAAACCCAGGTATGCGGAACTTGTGACTGAAATCTCTAGGCTCTAATGGAGTCAGGAATGGGCAACCTACTCCCATCTCTCTGTGCTTCTGGTAGCCTGGCAGTCATGCCCTGGAACTGCCTCTGGGGCCATATAAACTCATTAATGGCCATGATACAAAGACTCACAAATAAATCTCTGGGAAGAGAGCAACACAGAACGATATGCCATAGAGATGTCTCCTGACCCCAAAGTCACCATTCAGTTAAAAAAAATTAAATTAACCTCGGTTGTAGCATTATAGCACTGTCCTCTCATTGTTCATCTATTTGCTCGAGCAGGCACCGGTAACATCTCCATTGTGAGACTTGTTGTTACTGTTTTTGGTATATCAAATACGCCACGGGGAGCTTGCCAGGTTCTGCCGTGTGGGCAGGATACTCTCGGTAGCCTTCCCAGACTCTCCGAGAGGGATGGAGGAATCGAACCCGGTCGGCCATATACAAGGCAAACGCCCTACCTGCTGTGCTATTGCTCCAGCCCAGCTGTATAACAGTATTTAAAATTTTAGAATTCCTGGAGCACTGCTATCATTACACTATTTATTGTCCTTGCACCTGGAAACATATGTGGGAAATCCGATTACATGCCATAAAGGAAATTATGTATTACCTATACATATCAGAGTGAGTACTTTAAAATATAAACTTACCTTATAAAAATAAAAATAAGAAACCTCTCTGAAGACCTCCAATGTCTGCTCTAAACACAAGAGAAACAAATACCATTAGCTTAATCTTCTTTGGCACTCAGAAAATGAAAACTTTCCAGGGTCACTCACAGTCACAGCTGGGGGTGCATGTCTTGCAGAAGACCTCTGTCTGTAGAGCTTGCTCTGTGTGAGCTGACCATGTTTTCATAAGCACTGACCCCTACTCTGCCTGGACTCAGTAGGCCCCAGGCAAGCCTCTGCTGCTGGACTGTGATTTCCCTTAGTATCTTCCTGTAGCCCCGAGATTATTCCTTTCTTGATGAAGATTTGGGGGAAATTCTTTTCGCAAGATCTGTTGATATCAGAGATAGGCTGAAACCAAAGGATTTGTTACAACCTGAAGATTGTGGGAAATTCTGTCAATGGAATCTGCCTTGGGCTGGAGAGATAGCACAGCGGGTAGGGGTTTGCCTTGCACCTGGCCAAGCCCGGTTCGATTCCCAGCATCCCATGCAGTCCCCTAGGCACCGCCAGGAGTAATTCCTGAGTGCAGAGCCAGAAGTAACTCCTGTGCATTACCGGGTGTGACCCAAAAAGCAAAAAAAAAAAAAAAAAGGAATCTACCTTAAGCTAGTGATTGCAGATAGTTCCCTCAACTTAAGCAGGTGCAGTGCTGCCCTGGGTGTGTGTGGGGGAGGTTGGGGGGGGGGGGCGCTGTACCCATTGAAGAGCAGCAACATCCTCACTTTCAACTACCCTGACTTACAATGTGGGCTGTTATGCTGAGTCATCACTTCTCACTGGCTCTTGAGATCTAATCATGTGGTTTGATCATTAGGCTTTAGATTGTACCATGAACAGAGGCCCAGGATCCCAGGTCAATACCCTACCCCTACCCCCCACAAACTTCAATTCTAATAGACCATACAGCAGAACTAAAAAAGAAATGCTGTTCAGTCTAATGAATAGAAATAAGTTCAGAGCACGAGACATAATGAGAAAATGAAGGAACACACCCTAACTGATTGATCACCATAGAACCCCGGGGAAAAATTATCCTAGTGCAATAGACCTAAGTAAACTACTGACCAAAGACTATAAGGTAACAACACCCTTATTGATGCTCACTAAAACCAGGAGAACAATGGATGAGAAATTCAGCAAGGAAAGTGAAAATATGAGAAAATTTGGAACAAAAATCACAGAGGATTGGAATCCAGAAGATGGTTTAGTTGTTTAAAGTGCTTGACTGGCAAGAGAAAGACTGTAAGTTCAAATCACAAGTCCTGGGATGATCTCTACAACCCCTGGAAAAGACTGAATACATATTCTTCTAAGTGAATATAGTATGTTATAAGAAAAAAAAGAGATTGTACGATGGCACATAAAATAATGGGTAATTTATGGAGATTGAAGTTATATATAGTATCTTGATCACAATGGTATAAAAATAAAAATCAACCAAAAATGTGGAAAAAATATCAAATATGTGAAAACTAAAAAGAAAAAAAACGGGCTATCAGAAAGATATTGGACCAATAAATAAAATCAAAGGAGAAATTTTTTGAAAATCTTACAACAGTGCTATAGAGAGATAGCACAGCAGGAAGGGCACTTGCTTTGCATTTAGTCATCCAGAGTTCAATCCTCTGCAGCCCGCTTGCTCACTAGGAGTGATCTCTGAAAGGAGAGCTAGGAGTAAGCCCTTAGTATCAGCACGTGTGACCCAAAAACTAAAATAAAAAAAAACTGACAACAAACTAATATAATCTATGGGATGCAGAAAAAGAAGTACAAAGAGGGAAGATTTAGCAATACGGGCCTATAACAAGCAAAATAATATATCTCAAATTACAAATCAAAGGTCACAACTAAAAGAGCTGGAAATCTCTACTTGTGAGGTGAGTGCATCAGCAGCCAGATGTCACCGTCAGACTTTTAGATACCCCAAAATTGCTGCTGTGCCTTTGGCCAAACTCCAAAAACTTGGGGCAAAGTTTAGCAAAAAGTAAACGGCCAAAAGTTAGGTATGTGGAAAACACACCCACAAACCACCTCTGTCTCAGCTATATAGTTGGAGGCAAGGCCTCTTTGGTTCCTGATCAAACTGCTTAATGGCCATGATCCCAGAGACTCAGAAACAAATCTCGAAACCCAGTGGCTTTTGGCAGAGTTGCGTCGGGTCTCCCCAATGGGTTACTGGCACCAAACGACCCCAGGGAGGTCCCTCCGCAGGACTGTCCCAACAGTCCTTCCGCCTGCTCCCCTTTGCAGCTCAGTGGCCACCATCCTCCAGAGGTCACTGGACAGTCAGGTTTGGGCCTGCAGTGACGAGACGAGACACACGGGGTCTCACCAGATGGGGTGGAACTGGGCCTTCCTCCCCATCCCAGTGAGACCCGAGTCGCTGCCTACAAATGGCCTCTCTGGCTCCTGATCAAGCAAATTAACAGCCATGATCCCAGAGACTCAGAAACAAATCTCAAAACCCAGCGGCTTTTGGCAGAAATGCATCTGGACCGCATACAAGGTAGCTGCTGCCTCAGAGCTTATTGGAAAGCCAGGTATGAGCCGGCAGTGATGGGGCAACTGCAGTCTCATGGGAAGGAGGGCAGTACCGGCTCGTCCTTCATGCCCTACCGAGTCACAAGTTGGTCCCCACAAGTGGCTCTCCAGCACAGCCATGGCTCCAGAGGCAAAAGGACTTAATCCAGAACCTGGCAGCTTGCGGCAGAAAAGTGAATGGACCATGCGTTAAACTACAGCGCCATGCCTCCCCGGGAAAGGATATTGCTCCCTTCCACCTTTTTCCCCGCCCGGCAGCAAGGTGGCCGCCGCCTTAGAGCTTATAGGAAAGCCAGGTATGAGCCGGTGGTGACGGGGCAACTGCAGACTCATGGGAAGGGGGCGGTACCAACTCATTCTTCACGCCCTACTGAGGTCACGAGTTGTACTCTCTGGCACAGCCATAATATCAGACGCACAGAAACCAATCTCGTAATTATCTGGCTCTTTGCAGAAATCCAAAATCGCGAGGCCGCTATTGAGGCCATGCAAGATTATATGATTCTCATAACCAGCTATAGAAAACAAAGTATTTCACAATGCCTTTTCAGCAATTCTGATTGTTGGGGGGGAAATTCTAAACAATAATAGTGCACTTTTTGTCGAAATAATGTAATCAATGTAGAGAAGAATGAAGTGGAAATCATCTGCCACACAGGCATTAAGAGGGGTGGGAGAAATGAAATTGTAGCAATCAAAATTCTGAAGAATCATCCTTCTTATGCACATCAAGGTCAAATAGAAGTGAGCATATTAGCAAGACTTAGTACTGAAAATGCTGATGAATATAACTTTGTACGAGCTTATGAATGCTTCCAGCACCGGAACCATACTTGTTTAGTCTTTGAGATGCTAGAACAAAACTTGTATGACTTTTTTGAAACAAAATAAATTCAGTCCCCTGCCACTAAAAGTAATTCGACCCATTCTTCAGCAAGTGGCCACTGCACTGAAAAAGCTAAAAAGTCTTGGTTTAATACATGCTGACCTCAAGCCAGAGAATATTATATTGGTGGATCCTGTTTGGCAGCCATACAGAGTTAAAGTAATAGACTTCGGGTCAGCCAGTCATGTATCAAAAACTGTGTGTTCAACATATCTACAGTCTCGGTACTACAGAGATCCGGAGATTACATTGGGGTTGCCATTTTGTGAAGCCATAGACATGTGGTCATTGGGATGCGTGATTGCAGAATTATTCCTGGGATGGCCACTCTACCCAGGAGCGTTGGAGTATGATCGGATTCGATACATTTCTCAGACTCAAGGTTTACCAGGAGAACAGTTGAATGTGGGGACAAAATTTACAAGATTTTATTGCAAAGAAACGGATATTTCTCATTCCGGTTGGAGATTAAAGACACTTGAAGAGCATGAGGCAGAGACTGGAATGAAGTCTAAAGAAGCCAAAAAGTACATATTCAACAGTCTGGATGATACAGTGCATGTGAACACAATGATGGATTTGGAAAGAAGTGATCTTTTGGCTGAGAAAGCTGATAGGAGAGAATTTGTTAGTCTGTTAAAGAAAATGTTGCTGATTGATGCAGATTTAAGAATTACTCCAGCAGAGACTTTGAGCCATCCTTTCGTTAATATGAAACATCTTCTAGATTTTCCACATAGCAACCATGTACAGTCCTGTTTCCATATTATGGATGTTTGTAAGTCCCATCCAAATTCATGTGACAGAAATAATCATAATAAAACTTCACTTTTTGTTTTTGCTTTTTGGGTCACACCCGGCGATGCTCAGGGGTTACTCCTGGCTCATGCACTCAGGAATTGCCCCTGGCGGTGCTCAGGGGACCATATGGGGTGCTGGGAATTGAACCTGTGTCTGTCATGTTGGCTGAGTGCAAGGCAAACGCCCTACCCGCTGTGCTATTGCTCCAGCCCCAAAACTTCACTTTTAAGACCTGTTGCTTCCAGCAATACTGCTAATCTGACTGCAAATTTTGCTAAAATTGGCACATTAAGAAGTCAGGCATTGAGTACATCCGCTCACTCAGTAGTGCACCACGGAATTCCCTTCCAGGCTGGAACTGCTCATTTTGGCTGTGGTGATGCATTTCAGCAGACACTGATTATCTATCCCCCAGCTATTCAAGGTATTCCTGCAACACATGGTAAACCCACTAGCTATTCAATAAGGGTAGATAATACTGTTCCACTTGTAACTCAGGCACCAGCTGTGCAACCGCTACAAATTCGGCCTGGAGTTCTTTCTCAAACTTGGTCTGGTAGAACTCAGCAGATGCTGGTACCTGCCTGGCAATAGGTAACACCCATGGCTCCTGCTGCGACCACGTTGACTGCTGATGGCGTGGCTGGTTCACAGAGACTTGGCGACTGGGGGAAAATGACTTCACATGGCAATTGTTACAGCTCAGTGGTGCCACAACCTCTTCTAACCAATCAGATAACTTTATCAGTCCCTCAGTCAATTAGTGTGGGCATTGCACATGTTGTCTGGCCTCAGCCTGCTACTACCAAGAAAAATAAACTGTGCCAGAACAGGAGTAATTCATTGCAGAATACCAATATCCCACATTCAGCATTTATTTCTCCAAAGATAGTAAATGGGAAAGATGTAGAGGAAGTAACTTGTGTAGAAACACAGGACAATCATGACTCAGAAGGCGAGACAAGAAATGGTTGTGAAACATCCATCAGGCAGGACTCAGACTCAGCAGTTTCAGACAGGCAGCGACGAACCATCATCATTGCTGACTCCCCAAGTCCTGCCGTGAGTGTGATCACTATTAGCAGTGACCCGGATGAAGAAGAGATCACAGAGACATTCGCTCAGAGAATGTAAAGGTAGTCTAGATTGTGAAGCTTGCCAGACAACTTTGAATATTGATCGAATGTGTTCCTTGAGCAGTCCTGATAGTACTTTGAGTACCAGCTCCTCAGGGCAGTCCAGCCCATCTCCTTGCAAGAGACCGAACAGTATGTCAGATGAAGAGCAAGAGAGTGGTTGTGATACTGCGGATGGCTCTCCAACATCAGACTCTTCAGGCCATGACAGTCCGTTTGCAGAGAGTAGTTTTGTGGGGGACACTCATCAAAACACTGAACTGGTAACCTCTGCTGACTCAAAATCCAAACCAGCTGTTTGTACTGTAGTGGTGCCACCAATAGGACTAGAAAATGGATTGAATGCTGATGAACATATGGCAAACACAGAGTCTATATGCCAGCCATCAATAAGGGAACGAACAGCTGCTGGCAGATTAAACCAGCCTTCTACTACTGGGTAATCGTCAGCAAAAATTGCCATCAGCATTCCAGCAGCAGCATTTGAATTTCAGTCTGGTCCAGCACTTTACACCTGGGCATCAGGAGTGGAATGGAAATTTTGGACATCGAAGACAGCAGGCTTATATCCCTACTAGTGTTACCAGTAATCCATTTACTCTTTCTCACGGAAGTCCCAATCACTCAGCCGTTTGTGCCCATCTGGCTGGAAATACGCACCTTGGAGGACAACCTACTCTACTTCCATACCCATCATCAGCTACCCTCAGTAGTGCTGCACCAGTAGCCCACCTCTTAGCCTCTCCGTGTACCTCAAGACCTGTGTTACAGCATCCAACCTATAATATCTCCCATCCCAGTGGCCTAGTCCACCAAGTCCCAACGAGCATAAATCCCTGTCTGTTACCATCCCCAACCATTCATCAGACTCAGTACAAACCTATCTTCCCACCACATTCTTACATTGCAGCATCACCTGCATTTACTGGATTTCCATTGAGTCCAACAAAACTCAGCCAGAATCTATATATAAGAAAACTCGAGTATATTGAGGAAGCTCAATGATATAAACATTTGATTAAAAATAAAACATGGTATTTAATAAATATTAGCCATGGCACACGAAAATTATTTTTGAATCATGTAGACTTGGGTGCAATTTAAACAACTTTGAGCTTTAAAAAAACTCACTTTTAATGTGTTTTGCACATTTGGTATAACTTGTTTTTGGTCATGTTATCTTCTTATGTAGTAACTCTAGACAGGTGACAGGAGCAGAAGTCCAGTTTTGCTCCTGCTATTTTTTTATAAAATTTCCTTCTAACTAGTGCAAGACACGTCCACATTTGGGAAGCTATTCTGTGTACAGACTTAGAGCAACAAATGCACATATGTCAGAATTACAGCATACAAGTGAATTGTATTTTCAGCGTCTTAGTGTGTAAATGTTGGGTCACTTACCTAAGAAATTGAGCTATTGTTCTTTACATTTGCATGTGTCTTTGCGTGGGCAAAATGTTGCCTAGACTTTGCTCTTAAATGTTGTTCTAATAATCTCAGCTGCATTGTAAACCGTTCCCACACATAGTGCTTAAATATTTGAGGTTGTTAATGTTATTACCTATATACAAATGTTGAGGACTGCAGCACTTACAATTCAGACCTACACTTTAGTTTTTCTTTTGATAGAGTAATGTTCATTTTGGGTTTTGTGTGGTATGATTTCAGGTTGTAACCGTTTTTCCAGACTAAGAGGGCAGCATGTTTGCTATAGCTGAATTCTGCTGTCTGATTTTTCAGAATGATCTAGCTTCAAGAAAAGCAAGCAGTTAGCTTAAGAAAAATTGATTCAGTGTCTAATGGATAGTTAATAACTGTCACATTACAGCATTTTATATACTGTTAAGTGAAACTGCAATACAATCTAAGTTTATTTTGGGGAGTGTTTGCTATATAATTTGATTTAATAAAATGTTTAGAGGTGCAGTAGGCATGATTTTGAGTAGATACTGAAAGAAAATGCAAAATACTCATTGATTCATGATGTGGTTTCATCTTAGCTTGGGCAAACCATGCAGTAAGGTAAGGTAAAGGTAAAGGCCCTCCCGTTGATCGTCGATTTGCTCGAGCGGGCCCAGTAATGTCTCCATTGGAGACTTTGTTGTTACTGTGTCTGGCATATCCAATACTCTCGGTAGCTTGCCAGGCTCTCCGAGAGGGGCGGAGGAATCGAACTCGGGTCGGCCATGTTGGCCGCTTGTAAGGCGAATGCCCTACCCGCAGTGCTATCGCTCCAGCCCATGCAGTATTTAATAAATAGTAGCAGAATATTTACTATTGAAGCTTGAAAAGATGTGAGTTCTTTGTGTGCAATTTTTCATTTATGCATGTGAGAGGGTTTTTTTTTTAAGTATTTTTACATTGTAGTACTTGTTTTGTTTGTTGGTGGTGTTTGCTTATTTAATACAGTCCATCAGGGACAGAAATTACATGCTTTTTTCTTAGGAAGTGTGTGTGTATGTGTGTGTGCGTGTGTGTGTGTGTGTGTGTGTGTGTGTATGTTTTTGTGGGGGGAGGGTGGTGGTTATGTTTAAATGAAGTTCCTTTTACAGCACCAAAGACTTAATCATCCGTTTCCTATATAAAAGGTAGCTACTTTTTGCATAGACCTCAAGTATATTGTAGTGTAGAGGTGGAATTTTAAGGAAAGGTATTAAACAGGCCGTGTTTTAGCTTATGTGCAAGTAATAAATTGTATCATTTGTCTTGAATGTATCATAGATAAGCTGCTATATAACGATTACCACTTCAGATAGCTGTGAAATTAGGTGATTAACTAGTTGTTATTTAGTCTTCTAATTTCTGTATAAGTCTAACTACATGAAATAGAAGTTGGGGTTTTGATTTTTTACTTTACTTTTCTGTTTGGAGTGTCATTGTAACTACTATATTGTAAATGACAAGAAAAACTGCATATGTTATTTTCGGGCGTGTTATTTGCATCAGTATTTTATCTCTATTAATGTTTGTGCTCATCACTGCATATAAAAACTTGGATGTATCAATGTAACTTAATTTTTTATTTTTCATACTGGCATTGTAGACACTTGAGAAAGCTGTATCTTGCAGGCTTGGATTAACTTTTTTTCCTTAAAAATCTGGAATATAAACTTAAGCATTTACTGGAATAAATAGTACAAAGCATTTGAGTGTAAAACTCTTTTGGATTTACAGCATTTCTTTGATAAATGAATGCATACCACTAGTACAGCTTTAGTACAGCATTGATAATAAGCTAATAATGGATAAACTTTTCTTTACTCCATTACACAAGCAATGTTTTATTTAATAATCATCAATGAAATAAATGTGCCTCAAATTGATTTTAAAATTTACAGTATTAGATCATAAAAAAACCAGCAGTACATTTTTAGTCACACTGAAAATGAAGGACATAATTTTCCCCACAAGTTTCAGTGTTTTTAGTAATCAATTCTATGCATTTTATATAAATAGAAATATATATATAACACATAAAGGAATAGCTTAAGATTAATTTAAAAGATTATTTACAGATGGTAAATTTATGGAATCACGATTTCAGTAAACGTGCTGCCCTCCACAGCCTTCTCATTTTATTATTTATACAGTCCAGCAGTTTACTGGTATCTGCTCACTCCGTGGAAAAGAGTTAGTGCTGGCAATGGTTGTTTCAGAAACGCCAGATACAAGGAATTGATTGAAAATGTTTGTACAACAGCTGCAAAACTAGCGCAGTTTTCTTTTTGTTCAGGGCCATATTTACTAGCCCAAAGTGTCGTAGTTTCTGTTTTTTCACTTTTGAGATTGAGATGGTCTTGATAAATTGACAGTAAATGATGAACTGGTAAACTTAAATGTTTTCATAATGTGATCGTAATATTTGATAAAGGTGTATTCCAGTTACACTGATCTCACACTGATTCTAATCATGGACCTTTTAATGTGTTTTAAAAAAGTCTAAATTTAGCATGTTAACAAAAGTATCTGGATTAACCTCTTTAAAATATTTTTTTTAAAACTGGATTTCTTTGGTTTTAATGCTTCCTTAAAACACTGCATGACTTCCAAATTGCATATTTGCATACCATTTTAATTCGCAAAATTATTTTTTATCAAATACCCGGATACTTTTCTGTTGGGGAATTTATGTTACTGTAGTAGCAAAGCCTTTTCATTTTTCAAATCTCTACTATTTTAAACTGGGTTTGTGTTATGTCAAAGTTAAATCATACACTGCAAGGTGTAGGAAGATTTGATTACTGAGTTTGAACTGTTAACTATTTTTAACAATTTTAGACTTGTGGCTTTCTTTCTTTGGTTTGTTTTTGCTTTTATTTCTATGCTACACTAGTTTGCCATGTAGCAATTGCACTGTGCAATATTACAATAAGGACTGGGAAAATTTTTATGGATGTAATGTCTATTACGGTTTGCGATAGTATTTCTCTCTAGTTCTCAGTGATTTAAATGTGACCAAGCCTTCTGTACTTTGTCACAAAAAGCGGGTTTTCCAGGTGACTATTTTGGTGAGTGTCAAAATAAGAATTTATGGTGTATTACTGTCGATTCACTTTGAATTAAAATATATATATTGCAGCAAAAAAAAAGAAAGTACGTATCTGTGGTTTATTTTACAGATAATATGTGCACACAAAAGTATCCTGATTATTTTATGACCAAGATGAAAATAACTTTCCCAAATAACTTATGTTGGACCGTTGGGAAGTTGCATGTTTATTTGGGATTTTTTTTGTCCCATTGTGTGTCATCTTTCTCCCCAAAGCTTTTTAGCATTTGATATTTTTTGGAGGTAAGAAATACTTTATTAGTATTCTTATGTGGGTGCTTTATTATCTTTTGTTTTAACTGAATCAGACAGTCACCTTTTTTTTTTTTAACCTGAGAACTAGAGAGGAGCCCTGGCAGCTGAAAACCTCCGGAACCCAGCCACAGCCATGCTTAAGACCACTCTTCACATACTCGGATGAACTCCATGCATGAAGGAATCGGCAGAGGAACCCAGGCTGAAATCTCCAAGCCTGTTTGGATCGGGACTGGGTCTCCTCCATCCATATCCCCCATCTACCGCTAGCTAGACAGTTAAACTCACCAACTGCCACCAGCTCCGTGTAATCTCATCAACAGCCAAGATCCAGAGGCTATAATACCAAGCTCCTGGAAGACAGTGATGCAGTATTCCTCTCGGAAAGCCCGGCAGGCAACCGAACATTTCACCTGTACAGTAGAGCCCGGCATCCCACCTGCATGGTAGAGCCTGGCAAACTACTTGTCGCATATTAGATATGCCAAAAACAGTAACAATAATGGGTCTCATTCCCCTGACCCTGAAAGAACTTTCAATATGGCACTTGCTAAAATCTCGAGGTAGGACGAATGGAGAAATTACTGGTGCCTGCTCGAGGAAATTTTTTTATTTTTTATTATTTTTTTATTATTATTTTTTAATAATTTATTTATTTATTGAATCACTGTGGGAAAAGTTACAAAGCTTTCAGGTTTAGGTCTCAGTCATGCAAATATCAAACACCTTTCCCTTTACCATTACTTATTTTTTACCACGAAGAACCCCAATAAAACCCCACCTCCACCCCTCCCAATGCCTGTGAGGCAGATGAATTCTAGTTGACACTCTATCTGTTTTGATTAGATTCATTGTTGCAATAAAAGATGAACCACTATTATTTAGAGTCTGCTCGAGGAAATTGATGAACAACGGGATGATAGTGATATAGTGATATCTGAGAACTCATATTCCTCATTTCTGTGAAATACCATCAGATGCTCTATAATAATTTCCCTGCATTTGTGAAATTCCCATGAGACAGATATTGGACCTGATAGTTTTCCCCTAGAATTCATAAAATACAATTTAGAGTTTGTAAAGATTTTAGGTTACAGAAAAGAAGTGAAGCTATAAAGGATTTCTTATATATCAAGCATCCATTTTCTTGGTCATTAATATCTTTATATTATAGCATACATGTTACCTAATAATTTTGTAC